ATATATATATACATATATATATATATATATATATATACATATATATATATATATATATATATATATATATATATATATATATATATATATACATATATATATATATATATATATATATATATATATATATATATATATATATATATACATACACATATATACATATATGGTAGAAAACACACACAGTGAAATCTAGATTTATTGGAAATGAGACAATTGTTGTCTCATTTCTAATAAATCTAGTTTTTACATAGTGGGTTTTTCTACCATAGTATCAACACGGTAGAGTGCTTTCATCATTTATATATATATATATATATACATATATATATATACATATATATATATATATATATATATATATATATATATATATATATATATATATATATATATATATATATATATTTAGACACACACACACACACACACACACACACACACACACACACACACACACACACACACACACACACACACACACACACACACATATATACATACTGTAAGGGGTATTAAAGGGAAACCTCTAAACATTGGTGACAGGGAAGTAGTAAAAGCTTGGTGGCTTAAAACTCTTTTATTGATAGAGCTAGCACACAGAGAATAAACACAAGTATGACCCTGGGCATTGGGCGGTTGGCTGGAGGGTCACCCGGGGTCACTGGCGAAACCAACCCCGGTCAGACGTGACCTCGACGCGCCAGGGCAAACTCTCCTCTGACAGGGTCCACCTTGGAGAATAAGTAGCGGTGACTGGAAGCCAGGGGCGGAGCTACAGAGGCGTGGCTAAAGAAACTGACAATGCCCGACCTTCGCGTGGGCGTGGCCTCCCTGTTTCCTGCCCAGGGCGTGGCTCCCTGCAGCGGGCCCCCAGGGCCTGGGAATGGTGGTCACTTTTCCCTTTGCCCTGCCCTGGGGGGTAGCCCTTCTGGTCCTGTTTCTCGGGAGGTCAGGTCAGGCCACCTGGGGGGAGGTCAGGTCCAGATGTTGAATCTCACACCTCTCTGCCACCTACCCTCGCCTCGTCCTCGTGGCGATCTAGACTTCCTTAAGGGTGACCCAACCTGGCTGGTTCCAACTTGCTTGTTCTCGATCTCGGGTGCGGTATCCTTGGTGCATCTCCGTGGCTGCTCGTTCTGTGTCGTCATCCTCGCTCTGGTCCCTGGGAATCCGTTCGTCCTCGACATCCGCACGTCCTCGATTGGTCTCGCACAGTCCTCGACCAGACATCCTCATAGTCCGCTTACAGGTCCAACTCGGCAGCTTATTCGCCCAATGCACATCTCGCAGATCTCCGTCCAGGTCCTTCTCGGCTGCGTGCTCGTACAGACGTCCTCGTAATCTTCTTCAGGATCTACGGGCGTCCGGCAGGAAGCGTCTTCTTCAACATCGTAGGGCGGCTGATACCTGCACTAATGAGCACCTGGAGTTTGAATGGGTCTGCGGCGTCCAGGCAGGCCCATCTACAGCATCATGGGACGGCGAACCTTTACTGGCGAGCCCTGTCGTCACTGGATCTCGGGGCGTCCTGGCGGCTGCGATCCTCTGATGACGTTTTCCAATGGCTTCCGTAGGCGACCGTTTCTGCAACAGGGCCTCCTTCGGTGCCATTTCAGATATCGGGAACCAGAATAACACATAATGGGCCAGATAGTGAGAGAAGGAAAAACGACAGAGAAGAGATGGTGTTAAATGCCAAAGCCGATTTTTTGTTTCATAATTTGCAGTTTTTAGAGTTGAATTTTCATTATTTTTGTCTTTTTTTTTAATTTTGTGCTTTATGTTCAAAGTTAAAATAGAAGAGGGAGATGTTGGTAGCGATCCGCAAGGATCCTCTTGAGTTACCATCATCTCGTGAAATGATAAAGTAAGGGAAACGACCATTGGCATTCCGCAAGGAATTACTTGAACCAATGTCGAAACAGAAGGAAAAGTATGTCAATACGAAATCATGTACAAGTCACGCATCACGACTAACAATATTGCGGCAAACAAATACGTAAGCCTGCAACTAAGACAGCAGCAAATCCTATTAATGAAGGTTTCAGTGTCTTTTTGTCTGCGTTGGTGAGTGAGTGAGTATGTGTGCATGTTTGAGTGACAGTGATTGATGAGTGTTAAATGAAAGTAAGAGTGACCTCATAGCAGTAGAGTTGCCAACATGCTGAATAAAGTTCATATTAACCATAATGCGACTAATTATTCATAGACCTAATTCAAAATTATTTCAAGTACTGCATTTAATTTAACATTTAATGATATGCGACAAATGTGACGTGAAAATTATTCGCAAGCCTTTTCGCAAGCAAATCTTCTCGGGAATTTCCCCGAGGAAGTAGGTGTCTTTACCGACCATGCAGACTTTATTTGACGGGGGGACGTGACCCAAAAATTGCCGTATATTATGAAGCATAAACGAGCTGGGAAAATCTATAAATTACCCACTCTATCTGCAGATCTACGATGGGCGCTCATGAAATGCCCTACGGGGATTTATCATGAATCACCTACCCAAATAAACACATATTCATATACAGATATATACATACACACACATATATATATTATATATATATGTAAATATATGTATATCTTTACACATGGAATAATATGTATAAGGGTATATTTGTTTTTTTTCTTTTTTTATTAATTTGTTTTATGTATTTATTATTATTATCTTTTATTTTATTTATTTATTTTTATATATATATATTTTTTTTTGAGGGAGGTTCAAAATACCTTCTCTTCTTTTGGTTAACCCAACCGCCCCGGATTTATGTTATGTCCCTTGTTGTTTTATGTGAATTTTGTTACATACAGATGGCTACACATGTGCTCAAGGAGTCTGTCAGTGGGTCCTAGTGACCGATCCTGATTTTCTCATTCCTTGAATTGGCGGAAAATTTTGTTTTTCTTTTTAACCCCTTGGTGCCGGGTGACGCCGATCGGCGTGTAAACAAAGCGCTCGAAAGCTGGCGTGCAGCCAAATGAGCCGGCGGCGAGCCAGTGATTCGGGCTGATGTCCCCTACTCACGTGCTCAAAGTCGCCGCCTTTGTTTGCTTATGCGTAGAGTTTTTTTTGTTTTGTACACCCGGCGCCATTGGGTTAACCCAATGTTTCCTGGGAAAATGAATAAAAAATGGGGAAAATGCTGTGCTCATTTTCTATATTTTTGTGAAATGTCTCTTCACATAGATGGCTCTATTAGTGCTTAGCCAAAAAGGAGTCAATTAGTAGACCTTGTGACCTTTCATGATTTGAATTGGTGGGAAAAATGTATTTTTACTAGTGCTTTGAATATCGATGGTGTTATTTTTATTATAATTACTATAATGTTTAAACATTAGTAATAGTAAAATAACGTAAAATATTTTCGTAAATCAAAGAAAAGGATGAGCGTGTGAGACAGGCAGTACTCATAACTGGCTCATTTGTGACTTAGTACAAGTGTAGCCATCTATATGTAAAAACAATCAAACAGGTAACTCACAGTGGGCATAGTACGTACGTACACAACATGCCCGTTGGCATTAGGTTAATGTAATTGATATCTATGCTGTTATTATTGCTATTGATGTTATGATTATTAAATAGTTATTAAAATCTTGATAACATTTAACCCAATGGCGCCGGGTGTACAAAAGAAAAAAAAAAACTCAACGCTTAAACAAACAAAGGCTGCGCGCCGACTTTGAGCGCGTGAGTAGGGGACATCAGCCCGAATCACTGGCTCGCCGCCAGCTCGTTTGGTTGCACGCCAGCTTTCGAGCTCTTTGTTTACACGCCGATCGGCGTCACCCGGCACCAAGGGGTTAAGGTAATGAAATAATTCAAAAGACCTTTTCTGAAAATTGAGGATAAGGGTAAACAGGTAAGATAGGTAGGACTAATAGCCGACTCCTTGGTGACAAGCACTTGTAGGGCCATCTGTGTAAAAACATTAATTAAACTAGTATTACAGTGGGCATGGCACATATTCTTGCCATACATGCTGATTGGGTCAAATTTGTAAGACATGACCTAAACTGCAGATATATTTTTTTTAGCAGTTTGATTTATTTGTGTAATTTAGTCATTAATTGATTATAATGATTATACTTTCTTCATGGTCATATCAGTGGTTCCCAACATTTTTACATGTGCAACCCCTTTCTCAAACTTACTGACACCATTGTTACTACTTAAAATCACCAGTTGTATTTATAGTTATCTAAAGTAGGTAATCTTTACCAAACTTTAATACAATATTCCTTGAAGAAATGACTTTAAAGTATATTCTGAATATGAACACACTGATGAATGCCTAATAAATTGGCCTACAATATATTTCCCAAACATTTGCACCCCCTATTGAACCCATGGTGACTTTCTTGAGGATCATGACCAATTGGTTTGGAGCCATTGTGCTATATTTTGTATTTTGCTGGTTGTCTTGAATATGAAATAAGTTTTACATTTTGTTCTTTACTGCTTTATTTTACATAACTGTGCAAGTGTTTCTTGTGTGCAGGTCATAAAAAAGTCATTTGCAATGGAAGAGTACAGGGCCTGCATCGGATGATGCATGTGCTATAGCATCAGATGAGATGCTAAATGGGATATTTGTATGTATGTGTGAAATATTCACCTGATTAAAAAAAAAGTTTTCCCATCACATGGTGTATCTACGAGCTCTCCATCATATGATAAATGTTGTTGGTAGGGTTTAAGAAATAGCATTTTGACTATTTCTCTATATGAAAAAAACTCTTTTATCACTAATATATGAAAAACTGCAATTTTCAAAACTTTTCCTGTTCCTGTATTATAGTTCAGCTACTTTCAGATTTTTTCTTGTAGCTTTTTTTTTCTCCCAGGCTTTTTACCAATTCTTATTTGCTGTTTATAGGATAGTTAATTGTAAACTTGCCTAATACACTAATATAGCTTTAAGACTTCAATATATTCTTCCTTATATCCTCCTTATGGATGATTTACAACTAAGATTGATATTTCAGGTGTGACATGCCAAAACGCAAGCGACTGTCTGATGGGGAGGAAGGGGAATCTATTGTTGCTACTCCAGTTGTAGAAGGGAGACCCAAGAGACGTCGAAATGATACAACACTGGTATGTTAATTGTTTTTTGTGTATTTCTTTTTGGATATCAGCTATATATTAATTTTTGAAAGCTTGTATATTTCATCCATGAAAGAAAAAAGGATATTTGCAGTAATATTTAGGCATTTTAACAATAATTTCATTTTCAGGTTGATACAATACAGTATATTTTTGATGCATTGCGTAACAAAAAGAAAGACGACGATGTATACCTTTGTGAAGCATTTCTTCGAGTGCCTAGGAAAAAAACAGAACCACAGTATTATGAGATGATTAGGTCTCCAATAGACATGCTGAAGATCCAGCAAAAGATAAAGACAGATGTGTACAATGAACTTGAGGAATTTTGTAAAGATGTCCAACTACTGGTGGATAATGCCAAACTATATTATGCCAAGGTTAGTTGATTTTGTACATATGTCTAGAAATAGTTATGGGTGTGTGTATATATATTGATGAAACTGAATATATGTATATATAGAGAGAAATATAGATAAAGATATAGATACAGATATAGGTATATGAATATATATAATATATATAATATGTAAAATATATATATATATATATATATATATATATATATATATATATATATATATATATATATATATATATATTTCATATATATATATATTTCATATATATATATATACATATATATATATATATATATTTCATATATATATATATTTCATATATATATATATATATATATATATATATATATATATATATATATATATATATATATATATATATATATTTCATATATATATATATATATATATATATGAAATATATATATATATATATTTCATATATATATATATATTTCATATATATATATATATATATATATATATATATGAAATATATATATTTCATATATATATATATATATATATATATATATATATATATATATATATATATATATATATGAAATATATATATATATATATATGAAATATATATATATATATATGAAATATATATATATATATATATATATATATATATATATATATATATATATATATATATATATATATGAAATATATATATATATATATATGAAATATATATATGTATATATATATATATATATATATGAAATATATATATATGAAATATATATATATATATATATATATATATATATATATATATATATATATATATATGAAATATATATATATATATATGAAATTATATATATATATATATATATATATATATATGTGTGTGTGTGTGTGTGTGTGTGTGTGTGTGTGTGTGTATGTGTGTATGTGTGTGTGTG